TGTGCATTTCAAATGAATTAAAGCAGACACACACACACACACACAAAAAAAAAAAAACTCTCAGAGAATTGAATCTATAAATGATGATTGTAGACGCGCAAATATCGCATTTTATTCATTCAGTTGGCTTCAATGTGAAGTTTTTAAACGAATAAATGTGCGTGCTCTAATAAGAATTTTTATTTCCCGACAATAACACATTTTATTGTGATCCGGGCAAATATCTCACACGTGGATGTGAATGTGAAAATGCCCGGGGAGCAAATCTCCCACCAGCTAAACAGAAATTCCGCCCAAAAATCAAAAATATGTTTAAGCGTTTGGCCTAAAGTCGAAATTAATTCAGATTTCCGACTCATCTCAGGGAGCAGATGAAAGTTTCCTCTGCAGATGTGAAACGTCTGCTTCTCAGACCGCCGGAGCTGTCAGCGATTGAAAAGGCAAATGCGCCAACTAGTGTCAAAAAGCAGCACGGCGGAAGGCTTTAGCAGGGTGTGCCGTCATTTGATGTAACCCTCAACATTTCTAATGAATTCAGCCTCTGGCACACACACACACACACACATTGACTCTGTTGTGTTCTTTGATGTGGAAAAAACACATTTGCTTGTTTGCTTTAATTTTTTTTATTGAATTCCGCTCAGCCAATTAAAATGATATGGATCTATCTTAAACCCATAATTTCACTTTATGAAAATTTAGAGATGGTGCGAAGCCTCGAGATATAATAGCGTCTAAAATGAATAAATGAGATTGAAACCGCAGACCTGCGCAGTCTCGGGCCTTCTTTAGATCACTTCCAAACAGCTGAGTTCAGAGGAGGCTGCGTGATAAACCAGCGTGGAGATAAAGGTGCACACCTTTGATCTTATATAATATTTTAACGATTAAGGTGGTGCCCTGTGACACTCGGGGTTTACAGTAAATCTCCACAGAAGCCAAACGCAGGATTTATTCTTAAGCGCTAAAGTCCATCAAATTCACCATTTAAAGCATCTGCTTATTTCATTATTAGTCATAATAAAAAAATTAATTTAAGCAAAAGTATTTGCTTGCACGCTGGTTTTGTTTTCGTAAGTTATATCTGGCGTCTCTTATTCTGAAAAATAAAAAATAAAAAATAAAAATAAAACATTTCCTCTTAACGCACGCTGTCTCCTGCTTTCTGTTTCATGTAAAAAGCGTGTGTAGCGCATAAAAACACAGAGAAAAGCAGAGATATGTATCAATAATTTAGATCGTGTGTGTGACAACAGTGCATAGCTGCAGAGGGAGCACCGGCGAGTTTGATTGGTCTGATGAAAGCCCAGCCCAGTAGATTCATTGGTCGAAATCATCTCCACACTCCCAACCACTAAACACTAAAATGACTAGGGTAAAATAATATCGCGGCACTCTGCACCCTGTTCATCCTCACGGCTCCTTCTTGCGCCCTAAAGGATAACTTTTAAAGGAAATCCAACTGGAGCGACAGGATCGTTCCCATTATTCCAGAGTTGTGTTGGTTTTGGGTTGTTTTTTTTTTTTTTGTGGGAACACCTAAACTGGGATACGGTTGCGAGAACTTTTACGCAAGAAACAGGACATCGCTGTGCTTTAACTGCAGTTTGACTGTAGATATTCGAGTTTGAGAAATTTAATTAGACTTTTTTGTTTTGTTTTGTTTTTAAACCAGAGGTGAAAAAAGTTTCTGGTGCAATCAGCGGGAGGCGTCTGCTTAAAAAGAAAGTCGCTGTTTAGTCGAGACATTTTTTTGGTTTTAGTTAGGCGGATTAAATTTTTTTAATATATCGCGCCTGGATTACCTGTGCCAACAGACTCTTACCGATCTGCAGAAAAATATTTGGGAGATTCATTCACTTATTTGCGAGTTTGAGTGAGATCTCGGGCAGTTTGTGGTGCTTATATTCAGTTCTCACGCGGCAGAAAGAAATCCACGGTGTGCGGCAGACGCGAGCACCGATATAAGACAAGCTGAGCGCTGCCGCAGAGCTTTTATTTGCACGTCTTTGCTGAAATTAGAGCAAACCTCGTCGGCTCTCGTGCTGCTCGAGCCGACACATCATGTGCAGATGATCTAGCCACACAGTCACCAGTTTGTAGTTTCTGTTCAGGTAGCGAGGCTCTTTCCACTCTGCGCTCTCGCCTCCAACCTTTGCGCCAACACAGTGGACTCTTGACACCAGCAGCGTCTGGAGAGACAGACAAAAACTTTTCCCTCCAAAGAGTTTTGCTCCTCTGATCCGACCCAGTCAGGTGGCACTGACCCAAGCTGTTGTGATGCATATTCCCGTAGAGCCGCCGACCACCAGACGGTTCACGCCGCCCTCCACATCCTTCCCCTGCAGCAAGATTGTAGACAGCAACGGGGCCATGGCCACCGCAGGGCCCATCAGGTCAAGACCGGACACCAGGAACGTGGTGGACGTCTTGGCGGACCACGCGGGCGAGCTGGTCCGGACCGACAGCCCGAACTTCCTCTGCTCTGTGCTGCCGTCTCACTGGAGGTGCAACAAGACGCTCCCCGTGGCTTTCAAGGCAAGACACATCGCTCCTTATTATCATGTGTTATGTTTTTCATTTAATAATTCCCACTGCAGGCCTCTGACTTCCTTAAATGTACGAGTAAAGAAAAAAAAAAGAAGAACAAAAAATAAATAAATTAAAACCAAGCAAACGGGACTTGAGGAAGTAATCCATTTTCTTTTATTTAGAATTATCTGATGGGATTTTTGGGTGACTTTCAGTTTTTGCTTTGAGTGAAATTTTAAATATCAAATCGTAAAAATAACATTTGCTTTTTTAGGCTTTAAATTGCACAATAAGGGATAAGAAATTTAAGTGCAAGTAGCAAGAGCAGCTGAATTAATATTTTGTACCTTTATGTGTTTCTGGATTACGCAATGTTGATGCTTTCTGAGTCAATTCTTGTGTTTTTATCAGTTAACTGTCTTTGTCATGTGTTCGGATCCGCTCGGATGAGGACGTCACAGTAACAGAACGTGTAGTGAAATTTATAGGATTTCTTTGTTAACGTGATGACATTGTCTACTTTAAAAAAATTCTCCAAGCTGCATAATTCAATCAGCAGTTTATTGTTGACATTGTGTTCAAATTGTACAATGTACGATTTCTAACTTAATATTACGAAACAGTCGGATGCGGTTTTACGCGCGCATTGAGCACATTTGCTTTGATGACCCGAGTGACCAACATCTTTTTTTCTCTCTTCTGCGCTCAGGTTGTGGCTCTTGGTGACGTCCCCGACGGGACTCTGGTCACCGTGATGGCCGGAAACGACGAGAACTACTCGGCCGAGCTGAGGAACGCCTCGGCTGTAATGAAGAACCAGGTGGCTCGCTTCAACGACCTGCGCTTCGTGGGCAGGAGCGGACGAGGTGAGCGTAACCTCTGAAACTCTCTCTCTCCCTCTCTCCCTCTCTCTCTCTCTCTCACACACACAGGCCTGCACACAAACGATGAGGGAATGTCTGCGTGTAATGCATTTGAAAACACATAATAATAGATCATATTTCTGGGCACAGAAAAAAGCAAACAAAAAACGAGTGACAACATATTATTTTTGAGAGAACGCGGATGATATGAAACTAAATATTTTGCACAGGCTGCACCGCTGCGCGCATTAAAATACAGCTCGCGCATAAATACTTTTCTGTCAGTTTTGGGGATGATTTCTGTTGCTGAGATAATTCTGCAAATGTGGAAGCGTTTATGTTTGGGTACGACGAGTGCCCACACCTTGCCAACTGACGTCCACGGGTGTCATCAGAAACATCTGGCCTGCGTCACGGTATGCAGCTGCAATGTGGCTGTATAATTTTCTTAATCCGAGGGAATACAAATAATCATCGACGTGCTGCAAGTCGGAGGGATGGATGAGAAACCACCGTGCAATTTATGTCCCGGGGCAATTTGTCAAATAATCCCCGCCACCATTTAGGATGCGTGCATCTTATGGACTATTGCGCACTATTTATCACGGTTATTGCGTTTAATTGCTGTATAAAAATTCCCACGTCAACAGGCTCGTTTCCAGGATGCTGTGGTCAAACCATAGGCCTACCGTGTACCATTTTATGCTATATTGAGAAAATCAAAACAAGGCAAAGTTCAAGTAAATATGTCAACTTAAATAATAAAAGAAAACGATTTTAAAAGCCTGATCGGAGTCATTTCGCTTCTCTCCGTGAGGCCATTTCTGGATTTTATATTTCTATTTTTTATCTCATTGTCTTTTCCATGATTTTTTTTTTAAGTAGTTCGTACCTTTTATTTCTGCAGCCAATTAGCCCACCCACATGAGGATTTTATGTCTGTCTTCCCACTCAGTCTCCATTTAACAAGGGACGCTATTCTCAGAGCCTGGGACGAGCGCCGGACTCCCTGCGTGGTCCAGCCTTCCTCTCTCTGCACTTTGATGCAGATGGGAGCGAGAGCCTGCCTTGTTGAACAATAAACTCTTGCTGTAAGCTCTTTGGCACAATCTGGAAGACATTCCCTCAATAATCCAAATCATACCCGCAGCCAGACCGTCAAAAGAGAGCCGGTCCTTGGCTTCTTCTTTCTCTTCTTCTTCTTATTTAATTTGAATTCAAAGGCTGCAGCAGCGGGACGAAAGCCGGTGATGATTTGAGGTTGAACAAGCGAAGTATTGTTGTGAGAAGAGAGAAAATAAGTTTTGCAGATCATTCTCAACGGTCGTTTACAACCAAGAATAAATAACACTCATGAACGCGATTTGGTTGCTGTGCTGCAGGAAAGAGCTTCACTCTGACCATCACCGTGTTCACTGGACCGCCTCAGGTCGCCACGTACCACCGCGCCATCAAAGTGACCGTGGACGGACCCCGCGAACCACGCAGTAAGTGCACACGCACACGCACAAAGAGACCCACTCACACTAGCATTATTGCTAAAAATGCATTGAGGTGCGATGCTGCACAGCACTGTCAGCGACTCCCGATTCTCCAAGTGTGGGTGTCAGTAAACCCACTGGCTTCTTGAATGTAGATGAGAGTCTTACTGAGCAGGCCTGAAAGCAAGTGCAAGTGCATTCGTGGGTGTGCAGTTCCTTGGTGAAGGGAGAGCAAGAGAATCAGTTCACACGATCAAGATGTGCTAGAAAATCCAGTTTCCCCTAGATTTCTTTTGGGGTTAAGGCTTGGGTTTTGGGGTTAAGATTAGAGTGAAGTTTGGGTTAAGCTTGGGTTATGGTAAGCCTCTAGAGAACAAATGTAGGGCAATATATTGTCCTCACTTAAATAGTAGGGTAGGCTTGTGTGTCTGTGTGTGTGCAGCAGGGGCACAGGGAAGGGCCCTGTCAGAGGAAACTGTAAAGCATATTAAGGCAAAACCCAAGACCACTAAGAGGAGCTGAGTGAGTCTCCAAGCCGCAGGTGGCTCAGCTCAGTGCTACCCTCCTCCTCCTCCTCCTCCTCCTCACTCCCACCTTCTTCAGCGCTGGTCAGAGGGGTCGTACTGTACCTGCCTGCACAACCACATAAGTGGCTCGTTGATTTAACGCAGGGCAGACTCCAGCCACCGTTAGCTCTGGCAGGAAGGCACGGCATGCTAAAGCTGTTAGCGCCATCCTTCAGCCACAGCTACATGCTCTTGTGGTTTAATGCTTCTAGCGTGAGGGATGGTGAAAGCAGAGGTACTCAGATGACTCAGTCACTGACGGTTAGAGCTGTATGTGTGCATTTTTATTTTTTAATGAGCTCAAGGTGAGATAGGTATGAGAAATCGGATTTTCTGATAGTTTCTATGGAGGAATCTTACTTATCGGGGTTGCTTAGAGGTGGATAACTGCGGCTTATGCGGAAGTGGGTTCTTTAGAACCGGTGAACATGGAGCACACAGGGGACAGAGAGAGTGGCAGCGAGAGCCACATGAAAGGACACGGTTAGCAAAGGGAGCTCAGGGGGCATGGAGTGAGAAGCATCGAGCCCCCCCGCCCCCACTCCTCACCCTGCCAAACTAAGTGCCGTCTATTTGCAGAGGTATAAAAGAGAACAGCGAGCAGATAATAATAAACGCTGTGTGTGTGTGTGTGTGTGTGTGTGGCCATGGTTTCAATTTGATTGTATTCTGTTCAAATAGAAAAAAAAGAAGCCGAATGTGTGTGCGAGTGCATCAAGTGCATTCTCTGGTTCATCTGCAAGTGTGTCGGTGTGAAATAACTGTGTACGTTAATGCTGTCTCCTGTCTGTCTGTCAACAAGTTACGGCTTCAGCTGAGGCGTCAGAGAGGCCGTGCTACTTTTACACTGGCGCTGGGTGCTATAAAGTAACACTGTTTAATTTAGGGCAGGAGGAATTTAGAGCTCCATTAAACTCTGATACACTGCTGAGAGGAAATTCACAGAATGACAGAAAAGAAACGTCGCTGATCTGAATATGATTTCAATATTCATGAAGTCGAGCTAAAGCCCCCCTCGGTTTCAAACAGACTGGTGGCTTTGGGGCAAAGGTTAAAATGCAGTCTGTGAGGAGAACAGGATAGAGGGAGCATTTTGAAACGCAGCACATTTATTGTTCATTATGTTGGTTTCAGTGTGGTGTGTCTGATCTGATGAGATGAGCTTAGTTCGTAAAAAGAAAGAAAAAAAACTCAAAATAGAAACCTCACAAGATGAGATTAAGGGCCTCTCTTATTCCAACAAGAAGCACATTCTGAGACTCTATCAGACAGTCAAAGAACAGGAACACACACCAACATTCAGACATTATTAGGACCATAAAATTAATCAGATCATTTTCTAACCACAAGGCAGCGCATTATACCGGCTGTGCAACGTGTCGAGCCAAAAGTTGCGAGTTGCTTCTGCCAACACACAAAACCTTTTTTTTTTAAATTATGAATGTCATCTCAGAGACAGTTTTACATGCAAAAGCTGCTTTTCTTTTGGTTGTTTTTAGTCAACGATTGCACACAACGATGTCTGTACATCTTGGCCAGTGCCGGGCTCACCTGTCTGCAGGCTGGCAGGCCGCTGGGCCCGGGGCTTTGCAGGCTGTTTGTGTACGGCCTGCATTTGCATGGCTGCCTGCCGAGCCGTGGCAGGAGCTGGCACCGAAGGGAAGGAGGGTTTTTTTTATTAGTGTTTACGGATCTAGTCGAGAGAACCTGATGGACAGGACTGCAGCGGTGGCTCGCCTGCGGCAATGTAACAAAGAATGTTATGCTTGAAAGCGCTCGAGCAGTAAGGGAAACACTTACGCTACGAGTACAGTTGTGTACACTAATGTATATCCACATGTCCAGACACAGCATCGCGGTCATGAATGCACACAGACATAATTCTGTTCCTGAACAGATTATTTTTGTCTCCCTTGCTGCTGATTTCCTCATCAAACATCCGGCATTTGTCATCCTAATCCACCCCCACCCCCCAATCTATGTGTCAGACTTTAATATCAAACTTCTGCTGAGCCCAAACTGGAAGCACAACTGTCGATGAAAGCTCTCCCTCCAGTTTCGTCTGAGCTCTAACAAAATATCACATCCAGCAACAAGAGAGGGCATGCTGAGCTAGAAAAAGACAGAAAGGCAAAAAAGGAAAACAGACGACTGAAGTGTCGAGGCCCTCCCCCCCGTTTGTCGCTGCTATCAGATGCCTCCACACAACAGCTCATACGCCCGAGCAGGGTTATTCTCACCGATTAATCCCTCAGCTATATTTTTGTTGCCCTTCTCACCACCTCACTTATACATGACATCAACTGCTGCCTATTTAGCCCCGGGGGAAGGGCCCGTTTGTATTTCTGTATCTCTCAACCTGAAATGAATCAGTTCCCCGAAAGACCTCGCTGTGGGTCAAGGCAGAGTTCAGACAAGGGTAGGAAATGTTTGGAGCTTGAGAAAAAACACAGCTCTTTTCAAGTAAATGGTGTCAAAGAAATTATATAAATTTAATATCTGACAGCAGATTAGAGACTTGTCTGTGTGTGAGAAATCAGTTCAGCTATGAGTGTGCGTTTGTAATGTCACTAACTAGAAAATAGCTTCCACACATTTTCAGCTGAATCTTAAATATCTTTAAAGTTTTAAAGGAACTCTGCCTCTTTGCCCTGCTGTGGAGACCCCTCCCCCCTTTTTTTTGGAGATATGTGCTGTGCCCCGTGTTTCATTATTAGTAGCACATCATAACCAAGATATTAAAAAACTAAAACCAAACAAAATGATCCCTAAAACCTTGATGTGAGCAGTTTCACGTGGGAACTATTTCCTCTTTAACTGAACTGCACCTGCCAACTGTGTCAGTATGCAGAAGAAAATGCTTCTCTACCTGCAACAAGAGGGTCACGCTTGTGACAGCGTGTAAACATTAATGTTGTAACTCGACTGAGCTGTAATATTATCTAGCTGCGTGTTTCCTTTGGTTGGCGGGTGCGCTTCGGTAGAAACAAAATAGTTCCTATGTGAAACCGCTCCCGATGAGGTTTGTGGATTTTTTTTGAGTAACCGTGTCGTGGTTGCTGTTGAGTTTTTCAAATGAATTTTCGAGTGCCATCTCATTTAATCGGAGTAATATAATCAAGACGGATAAACGATGAATATGAAGCGTTAGATAAATAGGCTCATTATTTTCTGTGCACGTATGGGGTGATGAGATTTGCACAGACTGTTGTTTGCTGAATGCTGAAGATGCGGCAGCTCGTCAAAGTGCTCATTTGTCTTGTGATACTTGAGAATGATACACGTGAAAACATCGTAACCACTAACATAATTACACAGTGTACCTGCAGTACCAGAGCTGACACACTTTCCCACCAACACAGGCCCACGCATCCAAAATCACACAAGTACTGTCGTGTTTTGTTGCCTGTGTTTACTCGGTTGGGTGTGTTCCTGCAGCTCCATGAGGAGAATGGTGGGCGTAGGGAGGTAGTCAGGGAGGGGGGGGGTCGGGTGCATGTTAGAGTTGGCGGGTTGATTTTATTTGCATTTGGCACACAGACTGTACAAAGTATGCAAATAGACAAACAATGACATTTGCTGTGTTATTTTTCCTGTGATATTGCAGTCGCTCTGCAAAGTAAACAAAGAGATAGCATGAATGCTGCTGTGTGTGCATTTGCGTGTGCGGGTGCCCAGCTTATGCACCTGCCAGGTGCATCTCTTTAAGTGCAGCCACGCCCATGCTCCGCAGATCACATGAAAGGATCCCCCCTCGGTGCGAATTGCTCTCTCAAAGAAAACTTTGATGTTTGAAAATGGAGATGGGTGTCTTTGAAAGAAAGGCCTACAGGTGTATCAGTGCCACGGGAGAGGGGGGGGGAGCGGCATGCGTGACGCCGGGTGCTTTCCTGACTACGAGATGTTATAACCCGGAGACATAGCGGCCTGCTCATGCACACAGTCACACATACACAGACAAATAGTGGCGAGCCTCAACAATCAACCTCATGACCACCTAATTTATGATTTGGTTGAGACGAGAGAGTCTGCCTCAACACCACATAGAGACAGATGGGAACTGATAAAGGGCAGATTTTATGTCTTTTCAAAGAAATGACACTGTGGCGTCTGCAGCGACTGGAGCCTGACGACTGTGGTCGTTCTCCCCCCCGGGGTCACTCCACATGCATCATACTTGGCTTCAGCGATTAGACGTAGAGCAAATATTGGCTAACTGATAAATCCACTGGAATGCAGAGGTACATATTGAATAGTTCTGAACTGATTCAGGGAGGAACTCGTGTGCTGGGACAAACCATCCACCGCATTTTGAGCTCTCAGACTTGTGCCAGGAGGCAGACGAGGGCCGTGTCATGCATATCCGACGCTTTAGAAGCAGCCGCTCGGCTGCTAATTATCTTCTCATGTCTTTTTTCGTTGTGAGTGTAACACGATCAA